GGCTCCTGAAACGGCTCTGCCTCCTGCATGGACAAACTTGACTCTGATGGTCGAGGTTCCATTGTCCTTGAGGAGCAGAGCTGTCCATTGTGGTCCTCAGGCCAGAGCTTTAGGTGATCTTTTATTGTTCCAGACATGGCAGAAGCATATGATGCTGCTGTAAAAAGCAGTCCCTGTGCCTAAGAGAATCACTCCTTTCGGGGTAATTTACTGCTCGGAGAAGAGGTGGACTCCCCAGTTTATTTCAGGGTTTCAGGCTCCTGGCTGTCTCCTTGTCTGTCACTCATTCCCCACCCCCAGGGACTCTGTGATGCAATGACAGCAACCTCTTTGATCTTCCCCTGTCCTGGGAAATCGTGCCCAAAACCCCGCTGTCCTTTTACTGCTCTCTAAATGTGGCTGTCACACTTCACAGGTTGTAAAGTAGCAGCCCCGGCAGTTGTTTGATATTTCCGGACCCCTCTCAATCTCTCTTGCACATGCTGTGGCTTGGAGGTCCGGACAGCATTCCAGCCCAGTGTTCAGAATTCAGGGAGGTCCTGCAGTTTTTAGGAAAGGCAGCACTGGCCTAATCTGTTTTGCAGCACTGGATATTTTCTCCTCTTTTCCCCCCTCCCCCCCCCCCCGCCCCCATTAAGTTTTCAGTCTCTTTTCCAGCCTGCATCCTCTCTAATCCATCCGCTACAAGCACCCTCCAGGAGACCCGTGGCAGTGGGCAGCAAACGACTCTCCTTGTCTCCTCTCTCTTTCCGTGGTTGTTGCTGTGAGATAAGTGCTTGCTGCAAAGTCCTTCTAGGGATGTTCTGGGGAGGATGCAGGCACCAGCTTGGGCTTTGGACAGGCTTTATTAGTTTTGTGCTGCTGCTTCAGATGAAACTTGGCTCCTTCTCGCATTCTGTATGTTTTGGTGGCATGGAGCCTGCTGGCCCAAGTGAACGAGCCATGTGCTTCCAGCACTTAAACACGGAGAGCCTGGGGCCAAAATCCTCCTAGCAAGGGTCGCTAGAGCAGGAGGGATCTCCTAAAACATAGGGGACTGTGACAACTCTTGACCCATTTCCAGGTCTTCTACTCTTCAACCCATCTCTTCTCCCTCCCATTCTGGCATGGAGTCACTGTCCGTACAATTCGGATAATTGTCAGGGCTTTGTTTTCTTGGCTCTCAGGTTCCTGTGTCAGTTAAAGGCCCCTGTCTTGCCCAGGGCTGGGTCCTGAGTAGCTACCAGTTTCCATTCAGTAAGTGGTGTCTGCATGCCTCTATCTGCATCGGAGGAGCTGGGCACAGATCACCCCTGAGGTGTCTTTACCTATGTGCCTTTGTTTTCTGTGTACTGCACCTTTCAATCTGTAGGGACCCTCCTGTCTGCAGGGAAAGGCAGGCAGCCAGTTTGTGTTCAGTTCACCACAGCCTATTTGATTTCCAGGGCAGAGCCCGCTAGGGCAACGACAGGTCCTCTTGAGTGAGGGGAGGGGGCCACAGATCCCAGCAAATCCACTAAATACCCGGAACCAAGAATGAAAAAACAGGGACGGGTGCAGGGCACAAGGTCAAAACAAGGGATGCAGAGAGGGACCCGTAGCAGAGAACCCCATGCGCCACCACTAATCCGAGTAGGAGTCCGTGAATGCCAAATTTATGATGGAAGGCAGCTTACAATGCAGGGACCCCTGGGTGGAATTCTCTGACCAGTTATGAAGTCAGGCTAGATGATCACCATGGTCCTTTCTGGCCTTGAAATCTCTGGTATAAGCCCTCTTCAGACTTCCATGAACCGAATGTTCTGTTGTGGTGGGAGGGGATCTGCATGCATTACACACGTCTACACCTGCTCTGTTCTGGGAACTGTTTCCTGCCCATAGCAGCAGGTGCGCCAGGTCGGGAATATTTCATTCCTGATTTTGCACATGCTACTTCCCTGGGAATCCTTCATTTCCAGATGTGCATCTCCACCATGCAAGAGGTGTAGATAAGCCACGGAATTTTAATGCAGATGCTGCCCATAGGGTGATCTGCTCTCACTTTAAATAAGAGGGCGGGTGGTTGTTGGTTGGTTTGTTATACACAAGGTCCAGATAACTGAGGTTTTACTGCACTCGCAGCTTTTAAAACAATTATAGGTGAATTACACACCGTTCAACAGATTACTTCCTTATAGCTTTTCTGATTTAAATTGTTATTGCCCTTGCTCTAAATGGAGTCAGTCTGAAGCTACTGGGACATAACATAATAAAAATGCTAGGCACGTATCTATTGCCTTTCAGCTGGGGCAGGGACTGACTCTATTTCTGTTCTGCGTATATACAGCTCCTAGCACAGCAGGGTCCCGGTCTACAAGTGATGCCCCGGACACAGCCTCCCTGCAAGCAATAGTAGGACTCCCAAAGCACTTTACAAAACCACCCCTGGTTCCTATCTCCACTTTTCAGAGAGGGATGCTGAGGCAGAGACATTGAGCCAGGGCTTTGCTTAACTCACACAGCAAATTGGTGTCAGTCAGGAACAGAACCCAGATGGCTGGATTCCCATTCCTCTGCTCTATTAGAGACTGGGACAGGAAAGCAGAACAAGCCAGTCTAAGGTGTTGTCTATAATAAGGCAACGTGCACTGGCATAACTCCATCAGTGTGGTTACACTGGGACGAATTTCCTGGATGTGGACAGGGCCTCCCCTGGTGTGACTTGCGCCTCTTTCGATCCCCTTCGGCATGTACACTAAGTTACACAGCCTTGCCCGCATGCTGCCCTCCATTCAGCCAGGCTCCGTGGGCCCAGGTCGGAGGTGGTGAGATACACGTTGGGCAGTGGGTGTGAATTTTCAGGAGTCTGACTGAGGCTGAGTGCGGCGGAGCTGGTGGAAGAAAGCGTAAGTGACACCAGTTGGATTCCTTCCCGTTCCTTGACGCCAGGTCTGCGCTACAGAGTTAGGCTGATCTTGCTTCATCGCAACAGGGTGTGACAATCCGCACCTTTGAGCGACATGAGGAAGCCCGCCTAGCCCCGGGTGGAGACAGCGCCAGGTCAGTGGAAGAATTCTCCCGTTGTCCTAGCTACCGCTTCCTGGGGAGGTGGAATAATGACAGCAACGGGAGAACACCGCCTGTCACTGCAGCGAGTGTCGCTGCAGCGTTTCAAGTGAAGACAGCCCCAGAGCACAGAGGTCAGTTCTCTTCATTCCATTCCACACGGGTGTAACGCCACTGGTGTCAGTGGAGCCGTTCCTGATTTACACCAATCAGATCCACAAAGGGTTTTGGGTTGGGGAGAGAGCAGGGCTGCTCTTTGGCAGTTGGACAATAGCTAAAAATAATTTTGTCTTTTCTTCCAGTGTTGTTAATGCAACTAAACTGCTCCGGGGCTGGAAGCTGGCCTGCTGCAACTGTATCGCCTAAGCAAGCTCCTAAATCTGAGTTCTATAAACCCCGTTAAACAGGGAGGCTAGGATGGAAACTGTGACAGGACCTTAGCACTCACTCAACGGGGGGGGCTGGTAGCAGGAGCTGATGCTCTAACAAAGCATTCCTCTGATGATGATGTAATTGTTTGAACTGGAGAGCAAGCGAGAGCTTTGCTGGTGCCAGATATTCTGAGGCGTTGTTAGAACTGGGCTTTATCCCTGTAATTGCCTTTGATTTAGTGTTGTTTTTCATCTCTCATTCCTGCACAGGCTCTGTGCTCTAGCCCAAGCTATTTCTAGGCTCTGAGCCTGGCTATAAAAAGCATCCGCCGAGCTACAGGTTTGTGGGCGTTGCTAACAGATCTGCACCCACTGTCTGATCCTGAGCTCTGCCTGGCTCGTGTAGTCCGGGGTCCCGGGCATGCATAGGTGGCGTGAAGAGGGGGTTAAGGGAGGGGAACAGCAAATGTTTCCAGCCCTCTAGCTCCAAGAGTTTTGGTGCTAACCCCATCTCACGCTGACTGGTTGCTGGACAGATTTGTACATTGTCCAGAGCCCCCATCCCAGAAGGCCTTTGTGGGAGTGTGGGGCTGATAACGATACTAAGGCAAAGTGGAGATTTGTACCTTGAGCCAGGAGGGTCCTAGTAAGCAGACCGGCCTGCTGGTGAGACTGGCAGGCCCCCCCCAAAAAGGTGGAAGGACAAGAAATCTTCTAGCCTGTCCGTGTGGCTGGGCGGTTGCGTAGGATGAGCGTGTGTGTGTGTGGGGGGGGTGAATTTGTGTGTGGTAGGGAGTGTGAAGGGAGGCGTGCGGGTGCCTCCTCCCTTCGCTGGTACGTGCCTTCTCTACGGAGCACTTCTGCAAACAGAAATCCAGGGCCAAGTGGGAACGTGAGTAACCAGGAGTGAGGAGGGAGAGAAAACGAACGGGCATGTGTGATCCACTCTCGCGTCCCTCTGCTGGGATCTCTCACCGGAATAGCCCTTTATATGCCACAGGATATCTCCCCTATGATGGGGGCAGGGCCCCTCCGCATGGGCGCTCCCAGGTTACACGTTCCCCCTCGTGTGCGGTACCATGTTAGCCACGCGTCACTTTCCGTCATACCCAAAGGAGAGAGGGATGGCAGAAGGGCACAGTGGGCTAAGTGGAGATGGAGCAGCCTAAAACCGGAGGCCAAAGGTGGAAATAGCGCTAGGAGGAGAACTGGCACAGATTCAGAGCTGGCTAAACAGGATGGAGTGTGACAGAGGCTTGGGGTCGCTGGCTGGGGCGGCAGGTTGAACTACCCAGGGATAAATACAACGTGCTGGGTACATTTCAGCAGCACTCTGGCAATTGAGAGCAGCGCTCTGGGTTGGACAGGTCCTAGCTGAGCTGCTGGGATCTGAATGTTGCGGCAGCTCTTTCATTTAGAGGGACTGCTAAATAACGCCGCATCATGGGGACCCATTTCAGGGTCCCCATGATGGGGGACTAATTTCAGGGTGTTCATCCATGACACAATTCCCTTCAGGTCTCAGCTCTGCCACAAACCAGCGTGGTTTTTTTTCCATTTTCCTCCCTGCATTTCATGATTTCAGTCTTCTTATTTTCCCCACAGAAACGACTAAGAGCTCGGCAGCCAAAGGGGCAGGCTTCCCGGGAGCTGACGGCCGTGAAGACAGAGAATCATGGTGAGATGTACATCTTTTTCCTCACACGGCGTTTCAATGCACCTACCCCTTTAAAAGCATTAAGCTAAGACCGGGTCCAAACAGATGGGCCAATGTGTTCCATGCACAGATGCACCTGTACCTGCTAAGACAGGCAGCACTGTGAGCTCTGATGCAGCCAAAGTGGCACTGTGACTAGTGAGTCTTCCGTTCTGGTCCATACTAAGGCCATCTCATCTGTGTTTGCTCAGAAAGCTCCTCCGGACGGGGAGGCGATGTGTCTGAGGATCACTGGGGTAAAAGGGCTTTACTGACTCAAGTTAAATCAGAGTGGATTCTCTCACTCCAGTTTCCCTGGGGGTCTTGGCATTAGTCCCACCCGAGATGGCGTCACAGAGCCACAGTATTGGTGCTACACGCCAGCTTTTAAACAGCCGCTTGGAGGATCCCCTTCTGTGTGGCAGACCCTCAAGGGGTCCCACTCTTCCTTAAGGCAGCCTCAGTGCCTCCAAAACTGAGCCTCCGGGCTTCAGCACTCCTGAGACACACGTCTCACTGAGATAGAGCGCTGGTCAGAGTCTTGGACACACTTCAGGGCTCAGTGCGTCTCAGCAAGTATTGGCACAGACACCAGGCAGCCTTTTCAGAACAGAGGCAGACGGAACCCAGCACTGGGAAGGCCTGAGATTAGCATAGAGGAATAAAGGTTAAAACACCATCTCTTCTGGCCACACCAGCCTTCCATCTAGTGTCCTCTTCTGGCTCTGGCTCTCCATGTCCCTGTGCCACTCCCAGGTGAGAGCTGCTGAGACCTTCCAAAAGCCAGCTCTTATCCCAGCCACCTGACACCTTTTGGTCCATTGTCTACTTCCTGCAGACCCGTGCTGAGTTCACACGCTCCGCCTGCAGGAGAGTCCCATGGATAAATGTCAGTTGCTCTGTCTTTGGGGCTTCCGTTGTCTTTGCGGACCCTCCATTGCTATGGGTCGGTTTCAGCCAGTTCTTGACTGGCCCATTTATTTCACCCCATACAGATACCTGACACAACAGCCCGTGTCTCTTTCTCTGCCCCATGAGCAGATTTAACCCTTTTGCACCGCCTGGGGAGCAGTGCAAAGTAGAAAGAGAAACTGAGGCACTCATGGGAATCATAAAATATTACAGGAGATTCCCACTTCATCACAGATGGTTCCTTAGAAATCGACAGAGTATTTGGCATGCGTTCCTGGAAATGCATCCTTGTTCTAGTGGAAATATTGCAAACTTGTACGAGACAAACTGCACAGTGCAGAGCCAGGCTAGAAATAAAGATCTGTATCCTCATCTGGCATAAATTAGCCCATCTTCATTGACTCAATGGAGTGACGCTGATTTACACCAGCCGGGGATCTATGCTGAAACTCCATCCCGGGTCATGCTGCCACCACAGAAGCCCCTCTACCGATGGAGCAGGCTCGGTATTGGCAGGGCATCCGTGTAAGTTTTCCCTGTGCTGCCCAGGAATGAGACTCAAAGAGATTCACAAACAGTTTCCAAGCTGAACAGCAAATTCCCCATGCTGCTGTTCATGAGCTGATCTTATTAGTCACTCTCGAATGCCTGGGTGACAACACTGGTCGTGAAAAATCTGAGCAAGTTCGGAAAATGTCACGAATTCATAAGGGAAGCAAGTTAAAAAAACCAAGCTGCTTGCCCAAGGGAAGTGGGTAGGTAGAACTCTGGGAAGCTGCCTTAGTGTTTGTTCATGGACCGAGAAATCGATGACTGAAGTCTAGTAATATGTATGACCAGGCGAACACCACAAATGGCCAGCTCAAAAACTGCACTAGCTGGCCAAAACGTCCCACCAAACAAACAATCCCGCCCCTAAGGAAGCAGTCGGCGCAGTAGTGAGGAGGATATTTGCTGGAGAGGATGGTGTCTGTATGCTAGTAGGACGAATTACCTTATGGCAGTGTTTCTCAAACTGGGGTCGCCGCTTGTGCCAGGCCAGTTTGTTTACCTGCCCCGTCCGCAGGTCCGGCCGATCGCGGCTCCCACTGGCCGCAGTTCGCTGCTCCAGGTCAGTGGGAGCTGCTGGAAGCGGCGCGGGCTGAGGGACGTACTGGCCGCCGCTTCCAGCAGCCCCCATTGGCCTGCAGTAGCGAACCGCGGCCAGTGGGAGCCGCGGGCGGGGCAGGTAAACAAACCGGCCCGGCCCGCCAGGGGCTTCCCCTACACAAGTGGTGACCCCAGTTTGAGAAACACTGCCTTATGGGTATGTGTATTGTTGCCCTGTTCGGAGTTGACACGCTCTAGCCCTTATAAAAACAACAAGGAGTCCGGTGGCACCTTAAAGACTAACAGATTTATTTGGGCATAAGCTTTCGTGAGTAAAAACCTCACTTCTTCGGATGCAACCACATCTTCTAGCCCTTATGTGAATGGCTGGCTCAGGCAGAGAACTACAGACAAGCTCAGAGATAAGTGCTCTCTACCAGCTGAGTTATTCAGCAGGCAGTATTTGTCATTCGCTAAAGTCCCATTTAAATAGCTTCAGTCACCCAATCAGGAAGTGGACACTATACCACGTGACCACTCCCACACAACAAACTGTGACTAGCAGTCAGCGGTAGCCGACTGTTTGCAAGGCACTTGGTGGCTGGAAATGATTCGCTCCAACTAGTCGTTGAGCAATGAATGCACTCACAGAAACTGGGAACCATTGACAGGAAACAAAGACCTAAATGAGACATGTTTGTGGTGCAGGGAGAAATAGCTAGCCACACCCCTCAGCCCTGAGCTGGAGGGTCAGTCCCAGGACTGGGAGGCCAAGGGAGTCGCCTGTTTCTGTTCGATACTTGTCCCCATTGTGCAGACTGCCAACACGATGCCCATTGGTGCTAATTAGTGCCAGGAGTAGTGTGGGTAATTGTCCAATAGGAACTAGACTGAGATCATATTTTATGCGGGCCACCAAACCGCCCCCAAGCGATAATGAGCTTGACCAGCCCTGGATTCGAACTGGTGACCGAGTGGAGAACAGCCCCGGAATCCTGTCAGCAAAACCAGCCAGCCACAGTCTAGCCATTTATGTTTAATTTGCAATCATCGCAGCTCCCTTGCACGAGGATGTGGAGACGACGAAGGCCCTGCTGCTGGAGGAGCAGAAGAGGGAGATTGCGAGGCTGCTACAAGGACATCAGGAGGAAACGGAGAGGCTGAAGGAAGCCCACCAGGCAGAAACCCAGAGACTGACCCAGGACGTTAAAATCCAGGTTGGATCAAAGTGGCTTCCCCACCCCAAGAGTGTCTGTCTAGTGTCCCAGCACAGTCACCCCAGTCCTGGGCATTCATGCTTCTGCTTCCTGACCTTCACACTGCACCACTACCACAGGTTCAGAGCTAGGGAGTAGTATATAGCAGGACCTTGATGACCTGATAGTCTCCAAAGCCACCAGACAGCGTGAGATCCTTTGGGTGGTCAGCTAGCAGGCTTTGACGTTCCCCTTCCGGCCCTGATCTCGCATTCAGAGCCAGCTGGCCTGCTCCCCCAGTTATAGACACCGATCTGCCTTCCCCAGGGTTAGCAGACTCAGTATGGTAGGTTAGTGTCCTCAGATTTCCACCTCTCGACACCTAAGGCCATGAGTAAGGCTACAGTTTTCTCATGGAGTTCACGGAAATCGTGAATTTGAATAAAGTCCGTGAAATCTCAGAAATGGCTGTAAAAACACGTGACCTGGTGCACCGGGGTCGCAGCGCTATTCAGGTTTGGCCCCTCCGGCTCCACCTACGGAGGGGCGGACAGACCCAACCTGAGAGGTGCTGTGACCCATTCCCCGGCTCGCAATGCCCAGAGCAGGAAGCTGTGCCTAGGCCCACGACACCAGAGCTGCTGCTGCAAGGTGAGCTCTCCCCCTTCTCTGACTTGTTTTTTCCACTGCGCTCTGTTGTGAAATTTACATGCCAAAATCATAGCCTTCGCCGTGAGCGAAACTGAGCTCCGTGGGTCACTCCTTGTCCCCCTTTTACTGATCTCGCAGAGCTCAGCAAAAAGGGCAGTTGTCCAGGAAATCCTGGAAAAGTCCAGGCTGTCGCAGGTCAGCTGTCCTAGCAGAGCTGTGTGTGATGCTCTTTCCCCTTCCCCCAATGTATATGGTTGCCAGTGATATTAACCCCTCACTGTCATAAGTACCACAGTTAAATTCATTCATAAACATAGGAACAGGAAACTGGATCTGCCGCCCAGGAGATAAATAAGAGACTGCACAGGCAGGTACACTTATTTCTCGGAGATCCCCGGATACTTAGGGCTTGTTGCTCACTCTGTTTCTAGGTGGAAAAGGAAAGAGATTTAGAGCTTAACAAGCAGCTCTCCGAGCAGTTCGACACACTGAACAGAGAGCATGAAGAGAACCTCCGAGGTAAGGCCCCAGTCTCTCCTTTGCTGGGCGCTGGCTTCCCTCTACGCCCCCACCGCTAGGGTTTAAACTTCTCACAGGGCTGCTCTTGCATCTCTTCTCCTCTCCAACCTCCTTGGCTCTCTTGAGCAGAGGCCGATGGCTCCTGTAATGAATATTCAGCATTTTCATTAGATGTTGTGTGTCCAAGAGACAGGGCCGTCCTTACCCAGACGCAAAGTACGCAGCTGCGTAGGGCACCAGGGAATTTGGGGCACCACATTTCCTGGTGCCCTGCGCAGTTGGGAGCTGCTCCAGCCCCTGCTCCGCCCCAGCCCTGCCTCTTCCCACCCCTGTTCCACCCCAACCCTGCCCCACCCCAGCCCCGCCTCTTCCCACCGCTGCCCTGCCTCTTCCCACCCCTGTTCCACCCCAACCCTGCCCCGCCCCTGCCCCGCCCCAGCCCTGCCTCTTCCCGCCCCTGCTCTGCCCCCATTCCCCTGAGGACTGCAGCAGGGCTGGGCCTGCACTCACCAGCGGCAGGAAGTGCAGCGACCCGGCCCCAGCCGTGCCGCTGGGGGGTGGTTCCAGCCAACCCCGCCACCCCCCCACAGAGGCCTGGGACCAGCCTCCCCCCTCCCACGGAGGCCTGGGGCCCCACCCACCCCCGCGAGGGGGCTGCGTAGGGCCCCAGAATAGCTAGGGACGGCCCTGCCAAGAGATCTGCCCGCTCTTTGACTGGCCCCATTGGCAAGCACCTCCCATGCCCTCTGGATTACCATACTGTCACCTGTCATGCTCTCAGGGCTGCCATGGTGCTCCCTTACTGTCATGTTGTCTGCACCTCTCCAAGCCATGAGGGAGGGTACCCTGGGAAGGGCATGGAGACATGCTGGCAGGAGATATTACTCTGTATTTCATTAACTAGCATGGAGCGTTTGTAGAAACCCAACCCAACGTCTGGAAAATTGACCCCACTGGGGTATTACGCTTGCAGTGCCAGTGCCTCTGAAATAAACCTAAAATTCTTCAAAAAGGAGACTCCTTCCATCGGAGCAGGATGCTTCTCAGGGAGCTGGTAGCGTTTACACTGCAGCCAACAATGCGAGATGTGGTCACCCAGTCTCAGCAATAAGGCCATGAATGGTGATGGGGTCATTCCCTCTCTTTCTCCTTTCGCTACGGGCGGCATATTGCCTCTCTCCTTAGCGTAGCAATCACTCAGCTAGTAGCCCTCTGACTTTAGCTGAGCGAGTCCTCCAGGGAGCTCCCAACTGCAAGGCTGCTCCAGGAAACGGCATTTCCTCTGCTTACAGTCCCAAGCCTCTGCTGACTCTTAGCCCAGAGTAACTCTGGTCCCCCCTTATGGCAGTGCCATCTACTGCCATTCTATGCGGGTAAGGGGCTTGGGCAGGGCTTGCTTTCCTGTCCCCTGATTCTGACACTGATTTTATGTTTTCCCTGCAGAAGTCCAGAGGGCCCATGACCAGGAGATGCTGCTCTTAAAGGAATCCTACCAAACGTCCCAGTCTTCCTTACAGGTGCTGGCCCCCTTGCTTTGGCTTGCTGAGCAATTCCCTGTGGAGCAGAGCTCTTTAGATTCAGCGCACAGGTCTGAGGGTGCTGGGAGAAGCTTGCAAGGGACCTGCCTGAACTATCCCTGGGGTAAAACAGCACTATCTGCCCCTCACTTTCACAAGAGCCAGATTGAGAAAACCAAGGTTGTTCGAGCTGCCCGGAGCCCACCACCCTTGGAGTAACCCAGGCTGGCTGTTTGTGGGAATGAGCCCAGAGGGGCCTCTCACAAAGTGATCTTGCCTTAATTTTGCAGCAGGCAAATAGATATTTAAATCAAAATGGCCACCTGGGCTTTAAATTCCAAAACATAAAACAGTCCTTCACTGGCTCAATCAAAAAAGTGCAGCGTTCCCCGCAGCCCCAGCACCTTCTTCACCCTCGGCACAGCATGCCAGTCCTAGCGGCCAGCCAGGCGCTCCCTCTGGCTCCCCTGTTCCTGCCCTGCTCTGTCCAGGGTGCTAGCTTCCCTCCACCTGCAAGGCACCCAGGCCTCCCTCCTTGAGTTCCAGGGAGTCACTGACCCTGCTCTGGCCTGCAGCCTGACTGTCTGCTGCTTCCAGTCCCTCTCCTATTGGCTGCTTCCTGGGTAGCCTCCCTAGAGCTCTATTAACCCCTTGCATGCTGGTATGGGGCAGACACCCCATCACACCACTATTGACATAGGGGACAGGCGGGTTGTGTTTGGAATGTCTCCATGTTGTTAATGGTGCTCAGAGCTTAGGTTTTGGTTGGGGCACATCTCTACTGGCAGGCAAGTCTGTAACCTGAACACTCCAGAAGTGAAACTGGTGCGAACAAGCCGCCGAACTGCCATACTGTGGCTCAGAGCAGACTTGGCAGAGTCCGGGAGTCTGTTCTTATGCAAGCAACCCAGGAAGTGCTAATTATAAAGAGATCTCTCCCATGGTTACCGACTGACCCATTGTAACCAAGGAAGCCAGGATGGCAGAAGGCATTATAGTGGGAATTGCTCCCTGCTGCCATTAAATACTGTATTAGGGAACTGCTACATGGGACTTTGTTATTCATTGTGAAATGTCTTGCAGTTTGACTCCTGCCACCTCTGTACAACGCAATTGGTCATTTTCTTCCCTTTTATGAACAGTGCCCCTGCTGGAGGGGAGGTCATAAAACAGGACTCATAATCACATCCCTCTTCCTTTCTCTTCTGCCCTAGGAGACGATTGACAGGTTAAATTCCCAGCTGAAATCCTTCCAGGAGAAAATGAAACGGGTGGAGGAATCGATCTTGAGCAGAGACTATAAGAAACATATTCAGGTGCAGGAAAACAAACAAACTGTGGCCTCTTGGGAAGGTATTGCTTTAACCCGTCATTTGCTGGGGTCTCCGAGCAAGCCTGCTGGATTCGCAGTAGTGGCAATGGTCACCTCAAACTTAGTCATAGAAGCATCTGTATGCTATAAATGCTTTGTCACCAAACTAAAAGCTAAATAGAGGCCTCCCTGGAAGACTCCCCATCACTGGATCTGGAGAGGGCAGTGTTCGTAGTGCCTGGTAAACCTGTAGTATGGTTGAAGTAAGCAAAGGGATAGGAAGTAGATCATGAGAAAATTAAGGGTACATATTATGTGCATTATGCAGGTAGTTCAAGCTCCTTGCACTCAGGTGCCTAATGCAAATGCCGTAAAGCTGTAGGGTATGGATGAACACTAGTAAGCACATTTTATGGGGTAAGAATCCTATCAATCCAGGACTGAGAACACTGGACAATTATGACTACTAATGGTCGTCCTCTTTGGCTCATCTCCGTTCAGGAATAAAGAACCAAACCAGAACCATGCATTCGCCCCTCCAACCTCTCCAGTCAGTGGGGGACTCATGCGTTTTCTTTCTCCCCTTCTAGGATTATGGGAGCCCCAGCCACTTCTGGGAGCAAGAACTGGAGAGTCTGCATTTTGTCATAGAGATGAAGAACGAACGCATCCATGACCTGGACAAGAAGCTGCTGAACTTGGAAACAGTGGTGGGTTTGATGTGGTTCTACCAAAAAGTGCATGGACCCCTTTCCAGGGGCAGCAATAGCGGAGATGGAAAAGCACAGCCCGCAGGAGAGCGTTCCACCTACCTGAATGCAAACCGCGTTCTCCAGGCGCATTCCCCCTCTGGCTCACCTGCTGCCTAGGGGCAGCTTTATGTCCTGGCTGGCCTCTCAGCCGAGCTAACGTGTCGGGCGCAGACCCAGTGGGGGAAGCCGGCAGATGGAGGACTGCACTAATTGGACCAGGCTGCTGCAGTGCTGGGTGCTGGCTGGCATACACGGCAGGTTGCTGCTATGCATCACTAAACTCGCATAGAGGCATAAACTCGTTGTCAGTAACCATCAACGTTTTGACGTTGGCGCTTAGGCAGGACCTCGTTAGCCAGCGTAGGGGATCGTCTGTTGCCAAATCCATGTCACTTCTGACCCTTGACCTCTCCTTTGAATCCTCCCTTCCCAAACCCTTCTGGGATGTCACAGATGGAGAGGAACCTGCTTCTGGAGGAGAAAGTGAAAACCCTTCAGCAGGAGAATGAGGATCTGCACGTTCAGACACAGAACCACTTGACAATGACAAGGTAACGTCCGCAGCCTAGCGCAGAACAAGCTACCTGCGGCCATCGTCGGAGCTCACGGGCTGAGCTCTGGGCTAGGTTTGACTTGCACTCCGGAGAGGCTGTTTCCTGAATTGTAGGCTGATAACTAGATGCTGGGACAGGACCCAAAGGGCAGGTGTGATCATGGCATCAAAGCTAGCACAGAAGCTGCAGGTCAGAGGGCGATAGCTAAGGGTATGTCTACACTACGGGATTAATCCGAATTTAGATAATTCGAATTTGGGAAACAGGTTGTATAAATTCGATTTGTGCGCGGCCACACTAAGCACATTAATTCGGTTTTTAACCACATTAATTCGGTGGTGTGCGGCCACACTACCCCATTAATTTAACCACATTAATTCGGTGGTGTGCGGCCACACTACCCCTAATTCGAATTAACAAAATCGATTTTGGCGCTACTCCGCTCGTCGAGGTGGAGTACAGAAATCGATTTTAAGTGCCCTTTAATTCGAATTAACTGGCTCTGTAGTGTGGACGGGTGAAGGGTTAATTCGGATTAACGCAGCTAAATCCAAATTAAAGTCGTAGTGTAGACCAGGCCTAAGTAGAGCTATGATAGTAGGGGTGCTGCATGATAGGGCTGAGGTGCACTAGCCAGGCCCCCTGTGGGTGTGTGACTTTGCACAGCACTGGTGTGTGTGAGAGAGAGGGAGAGGGACCATGACCTTCCACAGCACCAGTCTGGCTCTGGTGAGAGTGTGTATGTGTGAGGAAGACCGTGACCTGGCACAGTACCTAACTGGCTTTTGGGAGTGCCTATAATCCACCCCACCCCTTTTCAAGACCATTCCATGCCCCCCCCCCTGCCCTGGCCTCTTTTGGCAGTGATCAGAACGGCTGGCGGGGCCCTGATCCCCGTCTTTATCTCACTCCGGGGTTCTTACCACCTCAGCTTCATCACCCGCTGTTTCTTTGCAGGCAACTGTCTGACAAGCTCCTGGTGGTTCGGGAGGCCCTGGACAAGGAGTCCCAGCTGCGGGAGCAGGCGCACCGGGAGAAGGAAGAGCTGCTGTACAGGGTCCTGAACGGTGACTCCTCCCCCACCTTCCCCATCCCCCCCAGCGAGGTGCCGCTCATCGCCACGTAGCGCTCTGGGAAGCGGCGACGGAGGCTGCTGGGATGAGGAAGCAAGCGAGGGGCACCAGAGACTCTTCCACCCCTCGTTTTAGCCCTTCCTTTATTGCACAGGTCCAGAGCTGCAGTCATGGGGACTCTGTCCGGTAGAAGGGGAGCTGCTCAGACTTCCAACCTTGGGACGGCCTCCCTCTAAGTGGACAGTGCAGTATTTCTTGGGACCTTTTCAATGGGCTTTTACCCCTCCTGTGTGTCCCCCTGTCTGACTCTGAACATGGGGGAGCTTACGAGACACCCCAGAACCTAGACACGTGCGGCGCGAGGTGTCCTGGCTGCCCCTGGCTTCACATCTCAGTCAGTAGCGGTGGTTACAAGGGGACCCAAGGGGAGCCAAAGGGCTCTCCGGTGCATTCGGGGTGGGGAAGAAGAGGTCTGTTTCCCGCACTGGTTTGCCCAGGGGAATCTGAACCGGAGCCCTGCATCTGAACAGCCTCAGCTTTTGGGGAAGTTTTGGATCAGGCTCCGGGGCTGAAGTTCGCCGCTCGGGTCCATCTCTAACCAGAACCGAAGAGAAGGATGCTCGTCTCAGATGGAGCTGTTTAACACAGCACCTAGCTGAGTCCAGCATCAGCCCCCGCGGGGCGGCTTTGTGGTGTACACAGGCAAGCAGCGGGTCAGGCGACCCCTGGGCGTCTCTCTCTGGGATTCTTCAAGAACAACCCCGCAAGGAAAGTTTGAGAGTCTCGGAGCTGGAACGCGCTGCTCTGTGTGACCCAGGCTCAGGGCTGTCACTGGCAGAAGATGGTGCCCTCTGCTGGCCAAGAAGCAACACCGGCTTCGGAAGAAGCAGCAAGCCTGCCATTCCCAGCTGGAGAAACGGCTCCGATGGCCTGTAGCAGGCACCCAAAGTGGTGCCCGAGGCAGCAAAGAGGGGGAATGTCTGCTGGGCCGTGTGAGGATGGGGAAAGTGGGCGAGAGGTGGACAGAGCTGGTCTCTCCCTGGTGCGCTCACTGCCCAGGCTTTCTGGGAGCAGATGGTTCCAGCTCCATAGGGTTGCCCATGGACCCCCTGTCCCTGGAAACCGCATGGCAGTGGCAACCAGAGCTGGACCAGTGAGCGCCTTCAGCAGGAGTTTGGGGAGCAGCAGAGGGGAAGATGGATTGTAGCAAACATGCCCCCGTCTCAGAAATCCCAGCCCTGCCTGCGGATGGATCATGTGGTCCAGTAGCGCCTTTGGGGAGGAGATGGGGGGCACATGTACAGGGACTGGCCTAGAGCTCCTGGTGCCCAACGACTAGGTTACATGGGCCCATGGAGGGTGACGGGGGAGTTTGCTCCTGTGAATGGGGCTGCTTGTCTCGTCCTGCTCCGTTCCCAGGACTTTGCTGAACCCTGTGCTGGGCTCACCCTGGCGAGACCCCATATCTCCTGCCGTGCTGGTCCTTTCTGGCTCCCAGCTCCATAGTGAACCTTCCTTGGGGCCGCTGCAGTGAGAATCACCATCTCCTGTAGCCTTCGCCTTTTGATTGTCCGTGGCCCCGGTGGCCTTCCCTGACAGCCTCGGCTTCTCTTCCAGGTCCCACGTCCTCCTTCCTGTTGGCTTCTTGCCAGAGTTCAGCCCACGGCCTGCTGAGTTTTCTTTTGCTCTTGTTTCAGAGCACTGCCTCCCAGGGCTTCCCTCCTTGGAATCTCCCCTCCTCCAGGGACTGCCACAGGTGCCTGTCCCCTTCTGCAGCTCCTCTTCACAGTCCTCCAAGCTTCAGTCCAAATCCCCCGTAGACTTTGCTTCCTCCTGGCTCAGGACAACCGTCCTGTTGCCCCAGGCTTCCTCCTGGGCCAGCACCTTCTAGTTCTGGCTCTAGCCTCCTCTCTGCCCTTAGCCCAAGAGAGGACAGTCCTAGGTCTCCCTCTCTCCTGGGTCTCCACCCTGGCCTTTCTTTCTGCTCTGCTCCTTCCCTTATGAAGGCCCAAGCTCCAGTTACATCTAACACCCCTCCAGGTGCCACCCAGTGGCCTAACAGGACTCAGGCTGGGTTAACCAAGCTGGAGGTTTATACCCCATCTCCTCTTACGCTTGGGCTCCTTGACACCACTCTGGCAGGGTAAAAGGGCCGGAAAGAAGTCACAAATGTAATTTATTCCCCCTTTAAGACCCCTTTCCACTTGCCCGTGTGGTGTCAAGGAGCCTTTTTGTAAATACGACTCTGGCCCCTTGACGTCATATCGGATTCGCTCTGTACAAAGAGCCCCTGATGCCTCCCGGTCGTTCGCAAAGTATTGTCCGCTGCACTCTACACTCACCCCCCCCCCCTCGTAGCTCCAGGACACCTCCTGGAAAAGAATCTTGGTTCCTTGCGAGCTCACCTGCTCCTGCTGTTTACTCCCCATGTGAACCTTTTAATTCTCCCCACCGTCGCTGTGGAAATGACGGTGATCCTGGAAGAACTCACGATGGCTGCGAACAAGCGGCTGTGCACGCCGAAAACCCCACGCTCACTTCACACCGGAGTCACGGCCACCGGGCACCTTGTCCACTCGGGGCCCATACACCACCAAACTCTGAAAATTCTCAACCAGTGAGCCCCGATGCCTCCAGCTCCCATTGTCCTGTTTGTCAAGTGGGAAGAGTTTGTTCCCAGTTTGTTCTCACGCAACCTGACGGCCAGGCTGGGCAGACCCACCCCTGTGGGCCTGGCCGAGATTCACCTGGGAGAATGGCTGTTTCTTTGGTGAGAGTTTGGCCCACGCGGAAATTTTGTCGTCATTTCTGTGCTAGCCGGCAGGGCTTGGAGAGTCACACGATTCCGTTCAGCCCACTAAGAGACCTGGGCAATTTGGGAATTTGCTTCAGGTGAAAATTGGCCATTTTCCCAAAGAAGGGTCACCATTTTCACAGTGAAATGAGGCTTTTCTGTGTCTGGGAGCTGCCTGTTTCCACGGGGGGGGGGGGGGGGGGGGGAATTCAAGATCTTCCCCCTCCTTCCCTGTCCCTTCTCTTCCTCCTCATCTTTTCATTTTCTCGTTCTCTTCTGTGCCTCTTTCCTTTGTAAACCCCAGGCCCCAGGAGGGACTTTTAGACATTGCACAAAAATGCTCTAGATCACTGATACCGCAACTAACAAGCAGTTCTCTTCGACCATGTTTGAGAACAAATGGGGCGGGGGGACGGGAGGAAGCTGTGTCTAGAATGTGAACTGCTACAGGGTCAATCCTCGCTGAGAGCCGAGTATTGGCACAATGGGGGCTGGGGGGAAACCAGCCTGTTCTGCTCTGCGTAGCTCCGTCTGTGAGAGGGATAGACCAGATCCCCTGACGATGTCTCAGACCTTTGCCTGTCTTTCTAGAACCCCCATAAGCCCTGGGGCCTGAGTGAGGGGAACTTGGCGGGGCTCTCGAGAACAATGGAGAAGTCATTGCTCACTCAATACTGACTAATTACGGCTCCCCGGCTGCCCCATCTTGTACCTTTCCTTGCGGCCCCATTTCTTACGGAACCCAGGACTGGCATAGAGAGAGACTGTGCATGGCAGCAGGCGGGGCAGCTCTGGTGGGCTCCATTCTCCTTTCGCTTACACTGACGTGACAGGAGCAACTGCCTCAGCGTTACACCAGCCTAAGGGCGCGCTGACGCAGGCTCAAGAACTAGGTAGACATGCACCTGTCTAAGAGCTCAGACTAGGCCACCCCAGGGGTCCCTTCTGGCCTTAAAGTCTATCAATCTTGGCTCTGAGAAGCGCGACGGTCATAGGAGGCGTCACGGCAACGTGGCCTCCTGAAGTGTGTGCTCCCTCGCCAAGGGCTCAGAGCCCTGAGACTCTCCCGGGGCCCGTCTGAGATGAGGAGCCATCCGTTAGCAAAGCCTGCACTGGTGGCAGTGAGTTAATTCCCCCCCCCCCCCGCCGCTGAATTAGAATTTGACCCATGTTTGGGTCCCACCCTACAACTCGCTCAGGGTACAGTGGCTGGGACGAGAATCCCTGGGCCTGTGCTCTGCTAGGGATGATGCTCTGTCCGTCATCACAGGGCCTGGCATCCGTCTGAAGACCTGGCTGATGTCCCTTTGCCACAGTGATACCAGCTCCTCCTGCAGAAGCCGAACAGAGGCTGCTAACTTTGGGGTAGCTGTTACTCCTCTCGGGGTGGCTTCTTTCTAAGTCCCCGTTGTGTTTGTAGTGGTATGTGTAAAGCCAGCCCCATCGCTGGCTGTCTCCTCTTTCCTTCCCCCCTCCTCCGTGCCCTAATGTGCCCAGAGCACTGACGGTGCTCCCCGCAGGCCGGTAAAGCGGGGCGAGAGGAGACGGCAGCCCAGAGCGGCATGGCTGGGGAGCTGACACGCGCTAATTGGAGGCACGCAAGCACTTTCCACTGGGCGTGTGAATGCTGTCGGGAGAGACCAAGTGGAGCGTTAGCTGGTGCCACAGACTGCCCTTAAGCTTTGCACCAGGCGTGTGGAGCGGTGTGTGTGTGTAACGCCTGTGTGCTAAAGGCTGTAACAACACAGTTCTGGGAGGGGAAGATACCCAAAGAATGAAATGTCAGTATTTTCCACGTGGCGGCGTGTGCGTTTCTTTGGCTTGCGGCACGCATTGCGTCAGTGGCTCATGGACGGTGTCAAGGGTTGTGTCTTGAGGTCGCCCCCTTGGGGTCAGGGCAGGCAGCTACTTACCTCATAGATCGTTCCCTGGGCAGCAGCTGTCCTGTGGCCTGGCCCGGAGGTAGGGTACAGCCCTCGGGCTGCACCCCTTACAGTCCGCCCTTTTCCAGGGGTATAAAACAGTCCAGCCAAAAAAGTAATTCCAAGGCCCAGAAGGGGCCGGGCCCCTCCCGCACACAAAGGAGGGAAGCAGCCTCTCCGGCTCCGCAGGAAATGCTGGTTCCCACCCTTCGCGTGGCCACGGTTTTTCAACAAAAGAAACAAACCAGCCCATCTTCTCTCCTCAGGTTGGCGGTGCTCCTCCCCTGGCCTGGGAGCGCTAGCTGGGCTGACAGGTGCGGCCGGTTGGGGCTGATGCTGACCACAGGAGTTCTTTAGCCTTTTCTTGACTGGTGGGAAGGTTGTAACTATCGGCCCACCACAGATGGGGGGCAGAGAACCTGCCCTGTGTTTGGGAGGGAGGGCGTTAAACCCTCGTCCCAGAACAGAGGAGCAGCTGCAGAACCCAGAATGGGACCCAGCTGGAATGGCGCTGCTGCAGGTACTGTACCCTCCCTGCAACTAGGAGAGAGGGAAAGACGCCGGCTACCAAGACCTTACGGTACGTGGAGACTGGCAGCAAGGGTCCCTTTGCGGTGTTGTGTATAAGTGTGGTCGGTGAGAAGCCCTTTCCTGTATGAGAACAGAGCTCAGAGTCCTGCTGTGGGTCACACATGCCTTGCCCTACGCTACAACGGATGCAGGGCAAACATGAGCCCTTTGGAAGCAGAGGGTGTTTCAGGCCCGTGTTTCTCTCCTCAGCTGCCCTAGAGATCCCATTGGAGCTGGCTGAAGTTTTTCTGGAGCTCACATTCAGATGGGAGGGGAAGGGTTCCTGGCTGGGATGCTCCCTGGACCACAGGTCAGTGTGGACTCATGTTCCTAAGGCACTTAGTGCTGTGGAAATTCCCACCCTACGTCAGCATGCTGGGTGGGCTCGGACGGCCCTGCGGGTCACCTCCCGGCGGAAAGGAGCTGTTGACTCTCAGGTCTGGGGCTAGCGCACAGATCTCCATAGGAAGCACCCCCACGATTTGCCTTCCTTGTCAGTGGTCTCGGTGGAGAAGCCAAGGACTGACTGAGCTACCGTCTTACCCATCTCCTGCCCCTCCCTGTCAGGACAGACACACAGGCAGCTTGGGGGTGGGGGGAAGTTTGCACCAATTGTTTTCGAGCTACAGATCTGGCCCCCATCATTATAGTCTGTGAGCCCCTCAAGAGCACTGGTTAAATTATCCCAGGTGGGTGGGGGGAGCGAAGGTGTTATCCCCATTTTACAGCTGGGGAACTGCAGCACTGAGGCGAAGGATGTTCGAAAGAACTCAGCGGGGTGGGAGCCCATGGGGTGCTGAACTCTTGAAAACCTGGCCACCCGTCTTGCAATGGGAGCTTCTGGCTGCTGGGCACTTCAGAAACTCTGCCCCTTATCCACCTGCCTAAAAGACACCCCTTATTCCCCAATCAAAGAAACCCTGAAATGAAGCAGCCTAAATAAACCCCACGACAGAGAGAAATTAACCCTTGTTTTTAAAAAATCCCTCCTGCAAGCAGAGTTTTTCCCGAAAAAGGAGAAGTTGACAGAGACGCCAAGAGGCTCCCGAGAGCCTTTCTGTTGCCACTGATTGTACGTGGAAGGAGCTGAGAGCCTATGGGGATGGGCAGAACGAACCCTGAGACAGAATAGGGAGCTGAGCGCTTGGGAAAATCTGGCCCTCGGTGACTTTGCCAAGGGCAGCCAGGGCATCAGTGGCAGAGTTGGGAGCTGAATCCTGATCTCCTGAGTCCTATGCCACTGTGCTAACCACACGACCTACCCCCCTCTGCAGAGACTCTGAGCACGTGGCTCCCCAGAGCTGTCAATCAGGCAATTGTCACCGGCACTAAACTCATTTGGAAAGGAACCAGCTGCCACAGAGAGAAGTCTCAGCTCCTTGTGGGCCAGGAGACAGGAAAGGATGGGCAGGGGCGGAAAGGCAGCTTGAGTCCTGCTGTTGCGGCTGTCACAGCCATGGAGAGACGCTGCAAACCTTCATGGAGGCTGTCTCTGCTGGTCTCTGCCCAAGAGGATCTCTGGAGTCTGACCAGCCGTTCTGTCATGCCCAAGTTCTCCCCAATGCCTGGGACCAATTAGGCTGCGGGGAGCACTGCACAGCTCGCTCGCTCTCTCCCAAATTGGTCTTTTGCTAATATCTTTTCAGCCTGCTCGGTCAGGAAGGAGTCGGGGGAGATGAGGCCTCCAGCCATCAGTCATTCTCAGTGGTTGCAGATGACAGAACAAGGAGCAATGGTCTCAAGTTGCAGTGGGGGAGGTCTCAGTTGGATATTAGGAAACACTATTTCACTAGGAGGGTGGTGAAGCACTGG